AAAAAATATATTTTTAAAATTTTTTCATTTATTAATTTGTTAAATTTATCCAAATATATACATTTTTAATATTTCAACTTATATTAAAAACTGAAGGATTAAAAATGTGTAGATTCAGATAAATTTAATAAAATGCTTAAAAAAATACATTTTTTATAGTTAAGTGATCAAAAAAATATATTAAAAAAATTTAAAGGTGAAAATTATGTGAATTTTTAAAATTGATCAAAATTGACATTTTAGCTTTTAATAATTTTCCCACTTCCACAGGTGTTGCATCCTGCTCCAAATGAAACTGAATACTGAATACTCCTACTCCATATGAAGTCAAACTCAAACGCCAAAGGTTTCGGAGCCATGTGCCGTAGCTTCAATCGAGGTAGAAATAAGCACTCTTTTCTAGAGCTTCCAATCCGGATATAAACACAACAGACCTGATAAGTTATTGAACAAACCCTTAGTGCTTATTTTTAATCAACTTATCCAACATTCCGGCGCCCCCGCCTCCGGCAGTCAAAAAGTTTATACAGTAAAATTCTAGTAAGTCAAAAAAAGTGGGTAAATTTAAGGAATATTCGAGAATCCTGGACAAAGAAAATGGAATATTCCAGAAGCACGAGCAAAGAAAATGGAATATTCCAGAAGCAGAGCTCATTTTTCAGTTGCTTTTTTTATTTTTGGGTAGGTGAGAGGTCAATTTGGGGGGGCTACATCGCGCCGACGGGCCCGCCCGTATGCCAGATTGCGTAGGTCAAGGACTCAAGGCTAAGGAAAAGTCCATGAGTAGGTATAGGCCAGGCATGGTTTTAAACGCATGCTGAAACCAAACCCACACGGTGCTTGCAATGTCAAAGGAGGGCAATTCACCACATACATGCGGCAATTCACCACTTTCACGTTGTGTTTGATCTTTGATTACCTCATAGATCACACTCCCATGTCTCGTTGACTATGATATATATTTAGAAAAATAACAATAATTGTCCTTTTCTAATTAATTAAAAAGTTTTTTATATTGTAATTCACATTATAAAAAAAATTATTAAATGGTGAAATAATACTTAATATTTGAGGTTTCATTTCTCATACAATGATTTAAATAGTGATTAATATATATATTTTAATTTAATACATTTATATAATACATTCATTAAAAAAATCGTTATTTTAAAATTTAAAATTTAAAATAAATAAATTTAAAAATGTAATCTTACATATAAAATATAAAAATTAATTGAATTAATTATATTTATATTAATTTTTTAATGAGACAAAAAAGAATATGGGATATATTCTAATAAGAATTATGGAATACTCTTCCACTTTCAAAGAAAAAAACATCTAATTCAAAATATTCTCAAATTCTAGGTCTACGTTTGGTTAAAAGTGATAGGGAAATGTTTGATTAATTAGAGTAATACTTATTCTTAACTTTTTAATAAAGCTTCTAAATTTTATCTTATTAATTTGTATAGTTTAACCAAACGAGCTCTAAATATCTCAACTATTGAATCTAATGTTTACAAATCTCATCTTAAACAATAATTGTACAAGCTTCAATTTCAATTATTAATTGAATTAACCAAACTTTTTACCAAACTAAACGTTTGGCGTGAAGTTAAGTTAAGATGAGATAATCAAAAAATTTTGGTTAACCAAACTTTCCGATTCAGCTTGTTTTAATTAACCAAACCAAACTCTGACCCGGCCCTGGGAAGTTTGAAAAGCGATGGCAAGCCACTTGTTCTAGGACGAGGAAGATTTTTCTAAGTCAAAATGATGAAATTACTCTAAGAAACGTCCAATTAAAATGCAATTTGTCTTAGTTATGACTCATGCCTCATGCCTCCCGCCCAAGCCACCGTGTATCGTTAATTTGAGAACAGCATGTGCACTAGCTGCTTCATATTTAGTGATGCAAACAATTATGGTCAACATGCCCCAATCAGCACGTTGTCCCCTTGTGTGGAAAAGTTTTTCACAATTGGTTGATAGCTTATATTTGTTAAATAAATGAATGCAAAAATATCATTTTACAATCACAGTGAATCACTCATTTCATTTACTTCCAAAGTTAATTTTATTTCTCTCGTTATTGTCGTCATTGTAATCGTCCTCCTTACATCAAACATTTGTGTTTTAGTTTATGCATTTAGGGAAAAGTGTATTAATTAGTTAGATTTTAAAAAAAAAACTAAGAAAAAAATACTTTAAAATTATTACAATTTAATAAACTTTTATTGACAAATACTAAAATAACTTATTTAAGTATTAACGAGAGAAACCAAGTAGTGAAGAACAAAATGACTATAGTATCTAGTAGGAAGTATGATCCCATAGCTTACGGGAATTCAGTGAATTTTGATGTAATTTCCCTTCAAAAGTAAGGTAACTAGGAACTAATCTCATTAAAATATAACTAAGTTCAAGTGAAGGCTATATCATTTTGGATTGGAGTCGTATTGTTTACATATGTTTAGTTTAATTTTCGACAATTATTTTTTAGACAACCATTACTTACAACCTAATATGGCATGTAGTTAATGTGTTTGCCATGTTACCTTGTTATAATTCTCTTTTGTTTTTTGGATAATGAAAATCTATAATTAATCTTGCAATGTTCAGATGGCTTGTAATGGGTTGATATATATAATATCATATGTCTCACTTAAGTAGATACATATAGTATCATCTTTCTACATAGAGTTAAACAAGTGAATGCATATAATATTACATGTAGATGTGTAATGTGTTAGATGTCAATTATCCTTGACACTCAATTAATTTGATTGGTGATTAGTGACAGAAATGTTAACATATTTAAAATTCAAAATTATAAAAAAAATCTCATTAAATCTATGCACTTCATAGCTCAATTATAAGTGTTGGTAATGCTGTCAAAATATGCTCACATGTCATATGTTAATTGGGTTATGCATTGTAACATATTTTTTCCTTTGATATGTTATTATGATAATTAGAACTTCTTCTTCTTTTTTTACCTCAATATTTTTATTTGCTCTATTAAATAAATTGTCCTTGGTTTGATGGAATGAAAGATGTGGAATTCTTTTGCTTTTTTAAAAATCACTCAATAATTGCCTTTTTTTTTTCCTTGCCATTTAACATTGGGATTCTTTAGCTACCCCGAAGTGCATCTTTCAAGTAAACTAAATCAGAATTTAGTTCCTAATTGGCAGCCATTTGCTTGATTCGGTTGTATTATATTTTTCCACCACTAAATTTGATTCCCTCAATGATTATATGTTTCAAAAAATATGTAAAAAAAGTTCCTCACTAGTTGAATCAAAAGGAGACATTTTGTTACAAGTTCCATTATTTGAGGAACAAAATTCCTGCATTTTTTTAATAATTGCTAGAATATCATTTGTACTCATATAACACCTTCCCAATTCCCTATTGGGATTTTGTTAGACACTCCAATAAACTAATCAAACCCTTAAAAATTCTCCTAAATGTTGCCTAATTTAGTTAGTGTAGTAGTTAATTGTATAAATTGTTTTGTTGTGCATGTACATTTATTTGATACCAATTATGTTAAACTTTGATTTTTGGATAAGGTAAAGGTTTTTCTTTTCGCCATACAAGGTTAAAGATACATAGAAATAGTATTTATCATTCCGTCCTAATATCTTCTAAAAAAATTTAGGAGTCTCTTGTAAAAAATTATCTTAGAATGCACAAGCATTAAATAACACATTAAAATTTCAACAGTAAAGTTCATTGTAATAATTGATGCAACAGGCTGCATTTCAACTTTGTGCACCCACCCATTAAATTTCAACTCTTAATTGTGCTAAGCTTCCAAAAGTCATTTGATTTTTTAGTTTGGAGATAATGGTATATTCTTGTCGAATTTTACACATCTTAATATTAATTTCTTTTTAGTAGATTTTAAGTAACATCTTAGATTGTGCTGGTAAATAAAAAATTAATTTTTTTAAATATTTATTTTAATATTTAAAATTTAAATTTTTTTTATATTGATCGCACAAAAACAATAAATTTTTTATCCTTTATACTACTTTATTCGTATGTTATACAACTCAAATTTAAGATTTATTACTTATAGCAAAAAGAGATAACTACTAAATTATTTAGATTTTACTAACAAATCCAATTATAGTCATATGCTAATAGCTACAGTATCAATTTTAACCGTTACTCTAACCATTTTCTTTTCTTTCTCTATTTTCTCTTAGGAAAACAAGCAAGACTTTGGTGTTGGAAATAAAATTCGTTGATTCAAGATTTCATTCAAGGGACGAACAGAATCCCCTCAAAGCATATTCCTCTTCTCACTAAAAAGTGAAAACACAAATACGCCAACCAGAGGGCCAACAATTCTGACTTTCTGTCAGGGAAATCAGAAGTGGAGTGAAGACTAGGGCATGCTATTTTTCACTTTAAAAAATTGTCAAAACTACTAATTTTTTAATTTTTTAAAATAATATATAAAAATATTAATTTATTAGTTAATTGTAGTTTATTAATTAATAAATATTTATTATTATATTAATTATTAATAATTAATTTCATTAATTATTTTTAATAATTAAATTAAACAAAACTACATAATATTTTTAAAATCTAAAAAATCAAACCTCTTGATGGCGGAACATTTTATTACAAATATTAAGTGAATTTCAGTCAAAATTTCACTTAATAAATAATTATAATAGACCGTACTGATTTGTATCTTTATTTTTATTTTTAGTATTTTATAACTTTTATTGGCATTTGACATTTTGACATGTGTGGAAACCCTGCCGCGAAGACGGGGAAAAAAACCGAAGCGAAATCAGTGCCCTTTTTTCTTCAAATTTAACGCAAGTTTTTGCCTTTTTTACTGAGGTGGCATGGAAAAAAATGCACTCAAATTCTTACCATAAAAAAAAGACAAATTTTTTTTTTTCTCTTTATGCAAATGCTCGCTCTTTTTCCTCTATATAATACTCCTATTCGCTCACTCTTCTGCAACTCTCTTCGTGATCCTGAATTTGCTCTTTTCTTCTTCTAATCTCAGTTGCCCAGATTCAGGTACTTCATTATGCATATGGGTCCTCCCAAAAATCTCAACTTTGAACCCATTTGTGCACCTACTCTGTTTTTGGGTGAACTTTTGGGTTTCTTACACGTGTCCTTTTCTCCATCTGATCGAAGATGATGGCTCTGTTTTCTGGGTCATATCAGATTATGTGGCTATGGGGATACATTCACTCCGTGAATTTTGCTTTGGGTTTTTTGGGCTTTGAATTTTGTTTCTGTCGGGGTGATGATGGTAATGTGATTTTTTTTCTGATCCAGGAAGAGGAGTGTGGTTGGCTTGAGAGTGAGCAATGGCGAATACTAAGAAACTTGAGAAGTTGGCGTCCATTGATGCGCACCTTCGGCTTCTGGTTCCGGGGAGAGTGAGTGAAGATGACAAATTGGTTGAGTACGATGCTCTGCTTCTGGATCGATTTCTTGACATTGTTCAGGATTTGCATGGCGAGGTTCTCAAGGAAACGGTATGTCCTTTTCCAATTTCACCTCTTTCGTCCTTGTTTTGATCGTTAAGAGGACAGAACTAGAATCAAAAGTTGGTCTTGGTTAATGTCCTAATTTTCCAAACACTTAATTTGTTTAGGTTAATGTCCTAATTGCAAGCACTTAATTTTGTAATGGGATTTAATTGTAATCTCTTTTGAATATGAAAGTCGTTGACTTTGCGTGTGATACTGATAGCCAGTTCACACTATGGTTTTAGTTACCATTAATTTTGAGGATCTCAGATTAGTTCGTTGTGATGATAGCGAAAGTTCTGTTCTTTTCATTTTTGAAACATTTATTTGTTTGTTGTTAATTTATGCATTTTTTTTTTTCCACTGGAAATGTAGAATGAGTTATGGTAATTAAATTGTTGGGATCTGTTTTTATGTGTTTAGGTTCAAGAGTGTTATGAACTTTCTGCTGAGTATGAGGGAAACCATAATCCAAAGAAGTTGGAGGAGCTGGGGAGTGTTTTGACAAGTTTGGATCCTGGGGACTCCATTGTTGTTGCTAAGGCTTTCTCCCACATGCTTAACTTGGCCAACCTGGCTGAGGAAGTGCAGATTGCCTACCGTCGAAGGATCAAGTTGAAGAAGGGTGATTTTGCTGATGAGAACTCTGCAATAACCGAGTCAGACATTGAGGAAACTCTCAAGAGACTAGTGGTGGATCTCAAGAAGTCTCCTCAAGAAGTTTTTGATGCTCTTAAGAATCAGACTGTGGACCTGGTCTTCACTGCCCATCCAACCCAATCAGTTCGAAGATCTTTGCTTCAGAAGCATGGAAGGTTTGTGGTTCAGTTCTTGCAGTTTTTCTGTCATTTTGTTGCACTCCAAGAAGCAGTCTTGTGGAGCAGCTTCTTTTGGAAACCCATTTATACTCCATAATTTGAGAACTCTTATTTACTATCTTCTTAGGATACGGAATTGTCTAGCCCAGCTGTATGCTAAAGATATTACTCCAGATGATAAGCAGGAGCTTGATGAAGCTTTACAGCGTGAGGTAATTATTATTTTGTATGTTGGGTTATCTTTTGATAAATTCTGTATTTTGATTCATCTGCTCGTGATTTGTTTTAACAAAATAAAGAATTAGCTTACAACTTCTTTGCATAAAAATTGCACTTTGACAGTGTGAATTTCTTGTTATTTTCACTTATGCCATGAGTGAAAGTATTAGTATGCTTTTAAACTAAGTCAGACTATCTCATTTCTTTTTTTAACTTTTCAGCATGCCTAATTTCTCTTCAGATAATTAAGTGGCTAGTTCATATTGATAACCTGTATCATCATATGTGTTCCATCATCTGAAAAGAGAACTTAGAAAGTTTGATAAAACTGAAAGTTTAAATTGAAAGGTGTCTATTCTGTAGTAGGCATGGCATGCCAAGTTTTCTGTTCTTGTGTATGACTGGAACTACTTGATGATATTAATCCTTTGTTCAAGTGATTTTTGGGAGGTTCAAAAACTGACACAAAGGTGTCTGTTGCAACTGATGTTCCTCTGGATCTGTCAGTGTGGAATCAAGTACCTGGAAGAAATTTTAACTCTGTTCTTTTTTCTGAACTTTACTTATTTAGATGTTGATCTTTGGGAGCTTTACCTCTTACTTTTGTAATTTAGGGACACTCTTCAACAAATATTTGATACAGTTTTTACCCGATAACAAGAGATTCTATTATGTAGTTTGGGAAGGGAGACCAAAGACCCTCTTGGTCCCACATGACCTGTTTTGTAGTTATTTTTCAAGAATGCTCAATTGCCTATAGAGAATAGTTTTGAGATTGGAGATGTGTAGCTGTGTTTGTGAGTTAAACCCTTTTTTGTTTTATCCTTTTCAGTTATTTATGTTTTGATTGAATAAATAGAAAAATGTTCTTTGGCAAAAAAAGAATAAAGAGAACTGTTCTTTTCGGCAGTTTAAGGAAATATATTTTCCATGAAATGCTAGAAACTCAACAATAAATTAATCTAAGGCTTAATTAACCCGATGTTGTTTCTGATTTTATTCTTGTGTTTACTTTTTTGAAGATTCAAGCTGCATTTCGTACAGATGAGATTCGAAGGACTCCTCCAACTCCCCAGGATGAGATGAGGGCAGGAATGAGCTACTTCCATGAGACAGTTTGGAAGGGTGTCCCCAAATTCTTGCGTCGCGTTGACACTGCTTTGAAGAACATTGGGATCAATGAACGTGTTCCATATAATGCTCCCCTCATTCAATTCTCTTCATGGATGGGTGGTGATCGAGATGGTATGGTTATCTAGATGACCCAATGAATGACAACTTTCTTGAGGATTTCTCTTTCTGACTGAATATTTTCTGTATGCAAAAACTGTAGGTAATCCAAGGGTAACTCCTGAGGTCACAAGGGATGTTTGCTTATTGGCTAGAATGATGGCTGATAACCTTTACTATTCCCAAATTGAGGATTTGCTGTTTGAGGTATGAAGCAGTGTTTTGTGTGTGTGTGTGTGTGTGAATGTACTCTAAGGAGCTTCATTTAATTCACCCGTTTATGCTAACTCTTTATTGATGTCTCTGGCCAGTTGTCAATGTGGCGTTGCACTGACGAGCTTCGTGTTCGAGCAGATGAACTTCACAGGTCCTCGAGGAGAGATGCAAAACACTACATAGGTATGCTTTGAAGTTTGTGAGCAGTTCCATCTGCATCTTCTAATCTTGAATCAAGATCATGCCATTTCAGTAATTTTTTTTTCCCAAATTGGTTTCTATGCACCTTTTACTGCTAGAGGAACATTGACAATGTCAAAATGTGGTTCTATTATGCTTTAATTCCTCTATAACTGGACTTCTTAGTTTGAAATAATTAAAACCAGATGAACTTCAGAGCATGAAAAAAATGTTGCCAGTGTTTTTGCCATCTTGAAACAGCAGTTCCCATAGAGAAAAGTTTCTTGTTAGGCTGTTGAAAAGAATGCATTGGGACATTTCCAGAAGAAGAAACAAATATTCCATCCCATAGCAAATTGCCAAAAAGAATTGGTGGTTTTGAAATATATTTTGGAAAATTGTTCTTATAATTTTTATTATGGTTCTTAATGCCTAAACTCTTCATGCAGAGTTTTGGAAACAAATTCCTTCTAACGAACCATATCGTGTTATTCTTGGTGATGTGAGGGATAAGCTTTATTCAACACGTGAGCGGACTCGCCAATTATTATCTCATGGCATCTCTGACATTCCAGAGGAGGCAACTTTCACCAATGTCGAACAGGTTCGGTTTCTTCATCTCTTATGATGAAAGGTTTTATGAAAAGCTATTTGAGTCAACACTTTTGAATGGCCTTGGTCTCATTTCCGTCACTCTATCAGTAGTCTTTTCCTGTCTGGCATTGGGAACTAATTTCATTCTTAAATTTGATGTAGCTCCTGGAACCTCTGGAGCTCTGTTATAGGTCACTTTGTGCTTGTGGTGATCAGTCAATTGCTGATGGAAGCCTTCTCGACTTTTTGAGGCAAGTCTCAACTTTTGGACTCTCGCTTGTCAGACTTGACATCCGGCAAGAGTCTGACCGCCACACTGATGTTATTGATGCCATTACCAAGCACTTGGGAATTGGTTCCTATCAAGAGTGGTCTGAAGAACGCAGACAAGAGTGGCTGTTGTCAGAACTTCGTGGCAAGCGCCCATTGTTTGGCCCTGATCTTCCAAAAACTGAAGAAATAGCTGATGTTCTGGACACTTTTCATGTGATATCAGAGCTCCCAGCAGACTGCTTTGGAGCATACATCATTTCAATGGCAACTGCACCTTCTGATGTGCTTGCTGTTGAACTCCTGCAACGTGAATGCCATGTGAAGCAACCGTTAAGAGTTGTTCCACTGTTTGAGAAGCTTGCAGATCTGGAGGCTGCTCCTGCTGCTTTGGCTCGGCTTTTCTCAATTGACTGGTACAGAAATCGGATCAATGGCAAGCAAGAGGTCATGATTGGGTACTCAGATTCTGGTAAAGATGCTGGGCGTTTCTCAGCTGCCTGGCAGTTATATAAGGCTCAAGAGGAGCTTATAAATGTTGCCAAGCATTATGGGATCAAGCTGACCATGTTCCATGGTCGTGGTGGAACGGTTGGAAGAGGAGGTGGTCCCACCCATCTTGCTATATTGTCTCAACCACCAGACACAATTCATGGATCACTTCGAGTTACAGTTCAAGGTGAAGTCATTGAACAATCATTTGGAGAGGAGCACTTGTGCTTTAGAACACTGCAGCGTTTTACAGCTGCCACTCTAGAGCATGGTATGCATCCTCCAGTTTCACCAAAACCAGAATGGCGTGCACTGATGGATGAAATGGCCATCATTGCCACCGAGGAATACCGTTCCATTGTCTTCAAAGAACCTAGATTTGTTGAATATTTCCGCCTTGTGAGTGCAAACTTGTAAAATCTTATTTTTTAAACTGCTTGAAAGCTGTTTTCGATCTAATAATCCTATTTCGTTTTTCCTCTAGGCTACACCAGAGTTGGAGTATGGTAGAATGAACATTGGAAGTCGTCCATCAAAGCGAAAGCCAAGTGGGGGTATTGAGTCTCTCCGTGCAATTCCATGGATATTTGCTTGGACACAGACAAGATTCCATCTTCCTGTTTGGCTTGGATTTGGAGCAGCATTCAAACATGTCATTCAGAAGAACATTAAAAATTTCCATATGCTGCAGGAGATGTATAACAATTGGCCTTTCTTTAGAGTCACCATCGATTTGGTTGAAATGGTTTTTGCAAAAGGAGACCCCGGGATAGCAGCCTTGTATGATCAGCTCTTAGTTTCTCAGGAATTATGGTCATTTGGACAGCGGTTGAGGACTAACTATGAAGAAACAAAAAGCATTCTCCTCCGGGTAAACTCTCCAATTCTCGATACTACAAGTTTTTGCCAAGTTTTACAATTAAATTGTTTATTACCTGTAGCAGCCACTGCCTATTTGATTTCAAGCATGAACCTATTATAAATTTCTATCCTTCACCTCCAGATTGCAGGGCATAAAGATCTTCTTGAGGGGGATCCATACTTGAAGCAAAGACTCAAGCTGCGTGATTCATACATCACGACTCTCAATGTTTGCCAGGCCTATACACTGAAACGGATCCGTGATCCAAATTACAACGTGAAGTTGCGGCCACACATCTCCAAGGAGATTATGGAATCAAGCAAGCCAGCTGATGAACTTGTGAAGCTGAACCCAACAAGTGAATATGCCCCAGGTTTGGAGGACACCCTCATTCTGACCATGAAGGGTATTGCTGCTGGGATGCAAAACACTGGTTAAACTCAACTCTTATTTCCAGACCCTCCATTTTCCATTTGCTTGACTTCTCTTCCGCCAATAGTCTTTGTCTGGAAAACCACCAACATATCTATGTATGCACCTAAAAGTGGATGCTCTTCAAACTATGTATGCTATAAGGTCCAAATTTTAGACGATCTTTTGTGAGCTATATGCTCGCGTTGCTATGCCTTGGTGCTACCAGCATCAGCAGTTTCTTCTATCTACACAGAATGAAACTCAATGAAGCTTATTATTCATGCTTTAATGAATTATGTGCCCTTGAGGCCTTTGGTACTTTAATATTCTTTTTACTTTAGATAGATCAAGTATATTGTTGTTTAGGAACAGTGAAAGGTGACTTACTCACATACATCAAAAGAAATGTTCTACTTGGTAACTTCTCAAAAGGTTAATCCTCGCCATGGTGGTCTCATTTTAGGACGTGTTATTCTTATGGAATGCACATTATTGGGAAATAAAGTCTTGCACATAGAGGGCTTCCAGGGGTTTCAGTTTGGAATTGGATGGTTATGTTTTTTGGGGTACTGTTGAGTGGGAGCAAATATAGTGTATATGATGTGCAAAGCTTGACAGCATAGAGTATCACTACCATCATACATTTGATGATGGCTATGCAACAATGACTCACCCAATCTCATAATGGAGAACTACCCAATCAATTCTACGTGACAATAGTACTAATGAATGAGATTCTAAATTGAAGTTTTATCCTATGAAGGTGGAGTGGTAATAATAAAAATGTATTATAATATGTAAAATTAAATATTGAGGACATGTCAATTACCTAAATAATTCAGTAGTTATTTTCTTTCGCTAGAAGTAAGAGGTCATAAGTTCGAATTATATAGTATGCGGATGGTGTGAAATAAAATATGAAAGATGATTGTCTCCTAAAAAAAAAATTTGAGGACATAAAATTAAATCTTATTAACTTTAATTATTTTAAAATAAGGACCTTATTAATATATTAATTAGAAATGAGGATAGAAGTTCTGCATTAGCTAAACAAAGGATCATTTGATTGGAAAAAAAATAAAAATTGATAAGTCATCACAAAAACTTAACTAATTTACAACAAAGTATTTTAAATTTGGGTGATGCTATAGGGATAATCTTTTTATCTCACTTTTTTATACAATATCTACATGTCATTAAATAAGTAGATGCATTCAATATTATGAATAAAAAAATCAATTATTTTAGTTACACGTCAAATTTTATAAAAATATAAGATAAAAAGGTTTTGTACGGAATTTTTTTTAAAATTTTAACTAATTGATAATAAAGTTTTTTTTATCTTAAATTACTCAATAAATGTGTTATCCTTTAATTTATTTTATTTATATGTAATGTAATTTAAATTTAAAATATTTTATTTTAAATTCAAACTATTGTTAATATTAATAATAAAGTTTTGAATGTAATTTATAACATGTGTAATGTCTACTACTAAGTTACTATTCAAATTATATTTATTTCATGCAAAATTCATATTTTGAGAAGAATGCAAAATTCACGATATAATTTCAAAACAATCAAAGTTAGAAAAGTTTGTAACTATTTACCTAAAAAAAAAAAAACAAAGTTCGTAGTAACTCTGAAAAAACTTTTTTATTTTTTTTTTTTTGTACCAATGACTAAAGTTTCCTTCATAAGAGAGAAAGGCATAGTCTTCCCCGGAAAACAGTGCTAATTGCAGCTCTCTTAGGACTTTTCTCAAACAGTTCGCAATGGCTCTAGCGACGAGGCAGAGGCGCGCTCAGCCTTCGGATCTTCCGTCGGCTCCTTCACGTTCTTCAAAACCAGACTCCTATTCGAAGCTCGATAAGCCCGGGAAATCGGACGGCAGTGAAGAGGGGGACCGCGGACTCAAATGGTTCCTTCCAATTTTCGCCTTGGGGATGCTGCGGTACATGAGCGCCACCTCCAACATCGTACACGATTGCGACGAGGTATTCAATTACTGGGAGCCTCTCCACTATCTTCTCTACAAATCCGGCTTTCAAACTTGGGAATACAGGTACAAGTGTGTTCATCCATTTAGCTACCCCCTCATCTAAGTGGTAATTTTTTGGAGATTTCTTTTCTGATTTTTCTTCTTTCTTAGCTAAAGTAGTGATTTGCTTTTTGGTTTTTGGCGTTATTGTGGTTAAGTTCTGTTTGGTGACTGAGAAAGTGAGAGAAAGGTGAGGAGGGTTTTTGGGATCATCCTGTGTTTGTGTCTATGTACATTTAGTTAGAATTTCTATATTGGATTAGATGCTGCTGCGAATGATTTTTATTGCAATATTGGTTGCATATGGATGTAAGTTGCATTTCACTTTCTCTCTTCTTTTAAAGTGAAATTGTTTTTTTTTTTTTTTAATCAGCTTTTAAAGTGAAATTGTTTCGAAATGCAACTTTTCTAGTGGTCTTTGAGTTATCATTTATGCTTTCTTTACCTCTTTGTGCTGCAATTTTTCCTACTGCCCTGATGTTTAACAACATAAGCTGTCATGAAGCTTGAGTTGCACCGCAAACTGTCTAATCAGGGGTCTGATTATTACTTTAAATTCCCTTTGCAGTTCCCAGTTTGCTCTTCGGTCATATTTATATCTTCTTTTTCATGAATTGGTGGGGCGGCCAGCATCTTGGTTGTTTACTGATGAAAAAGTAAGTTCCTAGTGTTGTAAATGCTACTTTTCGTATGCCTTTCTTTTTTTTCTCTGGTACAATACTGATGCTTACATTTTTATCAACAGGTGAAAGTTTTTTATGCAGTAAGACTCTTTCTTGGTCTACTATCTGTTACTTCTGATGCTACTCTGGTAGTTGCACTTTCCAGAAAGTATGGAAAACGCCTTGCTTCTTATGCACTTGCAATGCTTTGCTTAACCAGTGGTTGTTTCTTTGCTAGCACAAGTGAGTGGGCATTTTCATTTTATCTTTTGTCATTTTCAGAATGGCACTATAATTTGCTCGTGCTTCTGCCTGGTGTTTATGATAATGCATTCTTCTTCAGCTAGCTAAGTAATGGGCATATGGATATTCAGTTGGATGGTTCCTTATTAGAGATGTTAGATTTCTCTAATTCCTGTAAATCTTCATATTGTTTTCCAGGTTTTCTGCCTAGTTCATTCTCCATGTATGCCATGAGTCTGTCATCAGGATTATTTCTTCTTGAGAAACCTGGATGGGCTGTTGCAGTTGCAGCTGCTGGAGTAATCCTTGGCTGGCCATTCTCAATCTTGGCATTTCTTCCAGTAGTGTTGTATTCTCTTGCTAGAAGATTTAAGCAAGCATTTCTTTC